AATAACCGAGCTTTCAGAAAATATATACGTTGTCACGGATAGCAAGATGCTGTATAAATGAGAAGACGAGTTAATAATGACTGAATTGATTGATTGATTGATTGATTGATTGATTGATTCGGCTTGTAAGCAGTACATGTTATTGATTAGGTGTGCCATTATTTCCCCCGTTATAGCATGTTATGAAAAATGTGTCACCATTACGAAGATATGAGCTGAATATAGGTTGAATATAGGTCTTAGTTCACCGCCCGTTTTGCCTCATCATTCATTTTGTGGGGAAAAATAATATTATTCCAACCAATTCCAAACCGTAATTCAGACTGTTCTGGTGGTATATTTAAAGATATAAAGTTTTATATGTTTTGTGTTTTTACACTGTTAAAAATGTCGGAACTCTATCAAAAGTATGGCTGCCTGGTGGCCACACTTTGTTTTCCATTGAAAATGGCTGACCATTCTATTCTATTCTATTCTATTCTATTCTATTCTATTCTATTCTATTCTATTCTATTAGGTCTTGTGAGAAAGTGAGAACCCGTGTGGGCAAACGATGTTCTAAATGACGCTTTATTTAATTTTGTTGATATTATTAAGTCACGTGATATGCAAGTGCAGGTTGTTTATGCTCTAGTACAAGTCGGCATAACATAGCTGTCTATCTAGCGGCCATTTTCGTTTATAAAACATTCATCTAATAATTATTTGTCTGTTCAATTGTATTCGAATTTATCATGGATGTCATAAAGATCGACATTTCATTTTGCTGTGCACGTTTCATTCCAAGGTCAATAAGAAACTTAACGAGAATTGTGTCAAGGTATCATATGGCTCCGTGATTAACTAATGGGTTGATGTTCTATTAATTCTCAAAAATTTAATTATTAAAATTCGATGCGATGGAACAAAGTATAAATGTGCTTGTGAAAACGGAAAATAATAATTTTCGGGGCTTTATCATTGGCTGGTCTCCGGACTAACCTAATCACCATGGCAATGCTGAATATTTGATTCTATTTACAACGGGAAACAAACAAAAAAACGCATTAATTGTGTAACATCTGCAGACGATGTTGTCCCATGATTCCATGCTGCCATCCCAGGGCTTGACGATCTCCCCTTTTGAATTGACTCAGCGTTAACTTTCTTTCTTTTTATGTTTGATCTAAATTTTTAATAGAAAAATAAAAAAAAATAACCGTTATTAAAGATGCATAAATTAACACATTTTGGGGCAAAGATGGTATTTTATCGATGTTTAAGTGCGATCGTAGCGACACAGACTACACCGCTTGTCTTGTTGTCCCTGTGACCTCCCAGCATGCTTTGTAATATTCCCGCGGAATACAGCTTGTGAGCCAAGGCTGCTTCGTGAGACGTGGTTTTGAACGGAAATCGGTGCTTTTGGCCTATAAATGGCCCCGCTCAAACACGAAAATGGACGTGACAGTCCCAGGAAACCAAAGTTTGAGCAATTACAGGCCGATCACGAGCTATTTCTGCAGGCATTTGAAAGTAAGTGCGATCCCGATTGTGAACTTTGCAACGGCGATCGATGTGACCCATTTGTGTACCATGCGTTTTATTGTTGTTCGGCTTTCCGTTCGTAAATTCGAGAGTAATTTTCGTACGATCAGACTCGTAGATGTGATTAAATAGTAGTCTGTTTATATTACCACCCGTTTAATAACACTGTTTATTGATTTGTTTGGCCTTTCTTCCCAGAACCGACCCAAATCTACCGATTTTTGCGTACCCGGAACCTGATTTCGGTGAGTCGCTTTACACAGTTTCTCTCCGTGTATGTGTGTGTGTGTGTATATATATTCGTAACATCTCGTTTGTTTTTCTACCACCTAGTATGAATTTTCTCGCTAATTTCGTGTTTTTTAATTATACCGTTTAACTTCTGCATTTTAATTCTGTGGCCATATTTAATTCAACCAATTCTATCGTATTTTTTCCATCACAGCCTGTTTTTTTACATCGCACCCTTGCTTACATGAACCCGCGTATGTCCAGAAACCATACTCGGCGGTAGGTGTTATTTTTGTTTTTAAATCTACGCTAGATTGAATATAAAACACAAACGTTCATTTACCGGATTATTTTTTCATTGTTACATTTGTATTCACCGTGCTTGCAACAATGGCTTATCTGACTCTATCTACCTTGTCCTATCGTTTTACCATCAACACATACAATACATTTTATCTGTGTCCAGTTGCCATGTTTACCTCAAACTGAACAAAAACTGATAATTGTCGATATTAAATGTAACACTATGCTGTTTATTATAATTTTTTTATATTTTAATTTACACAACTGTAGTATTGAAGTGTAATATATTGTCTCTTATTGATTGTCGACATTCAGTTGGGCGACAAAACAAGTAACGAAAGGGCATATCTCTACGAGTTATACTCTAATAGTTGCATCACAAGTATTTTCCACTGTCGAGTGAAGAACCATTGGGGGTTAAGATTACTATCACATGCACAAGCTAAATTCACTTGTTTTTGTTTCGTTTAAACAAATCAGTCATTTTTGTACATTATACTTCAGCACTCTGTTTTGTACTGTTGGTCGTTTCTCTGTTGCTATATTGACAAATGTTCACGTTCATATTTGTGTGGACTGAATTTCATTAAAGTCACTGCAACGCATGATTTCATTTTTTTACCCGAATAAATAGGTAAAAAAAAATATTCTACAACTATTATCTTGTACAGGGTAAATAGTTGAGTTGTGTCCAAATTAATAATATGTAACACTAAATCTTATGATCAATTTTCCACTTGTGTTTAAACATAGACCCTAGAGAAAAATTGGAAACTTGGGTAAACAACAAAGGAAATCACGTAGTTTGCTGTACTAGCTTGGTTATAGTAACTGTAATTTATAATTGGATTAATGAAGGCTAACAAAAGAGTCGCCATGTCAAGAACTGCTTGCAGTAGTTGTATCTATTCAGTATTTGTTCATTGTTTTGTTTTTTCGAAAACAAGTTTTAAAAGCAGTAATCTTAAATTATCAGTCTAAACACTGAACATCTCATTACTGATGTTATAGTGATAATAGTAAATTAATTTACATTCTTGTGGCATTTCAATTTTCAGTCAATAATTTGTGAAAGTTGGAAAAATCCACAGTCAGCTGGCGCACACG